CTCCCGGTCACTGCTCCACGTCTAGACTTTGAACTCGCTCTGTTTACTCCCTTATCTGTTGTTGTTGTTGTTGCGACGATGTAATGGTAAGCTGTGGCTGCGCTTGAATCGCCTGCTTCAAAGACGCGGATTCTGGTTGTTTTCAGATGAAAATTCTGGCTTGGAGAACAGTTTTGTTGTCTGAGGAAAGGTATTTAGTTGTACACATTTGTCTTTATGTATTACTCTTTTAGTCTCAAAGTGTTGTCGGGTGACTGTTGCTCTGAAGAGGACGCGTCGCAGCGTGAGTTTTGATTATGTGCGTGTGACACCAGCTCATGACTAATTTCCTAATTAATTGCCTTTTGGAGGACCTAATCACATTATTTGACTCTGTACTGTAGGTTGTGTGCCAATACAGCGTAGCCCGTGGCTTAGTCACAGTGTGCTGGACTCATTAACAAGGCGATCCGGAGGTTGTCAAACACACACAAGGCCCGCGCACGTGAGAATACACACACTCGTGAAACATACAGACACACACAGCGCGTGATCAGCGCTTGAGATTTAGAGGTTAAAAGATGCCCTCTGGTGTATTTGATAAGGATTTGTGTAACTGGTTAGATTTCCCCGGTGGTGTGTAAAAACAGGTCTCTTTTGATGGAGCTATCACTTGTCTTCTCCTCCTACACTCAGTCGGAGGCAGGTTTATATAAAATATGACATGATAGTTTGTTTTTGAAGGTATTCAGTGTCTGTTTGTGTTAGATAGACAAAGAAGGGCATGCTTTTGTGCGTCTCGTGTGTGTGTGTGTGTGTGTGTGTGTGTGTGTGTGTGTGTGTGTGTGTGTGTGTGTGTGTGTGTGTGTGTGTGTGTGTGTGTGTGTGTGTGTGTGTGTGTGTGTGTGTGTGTGTGTGTGTGTGTGTGTGTGTGTGTGTGTGTGTGTGTGTGTGCGGGCTTGGGAACTTGTACATCTCTTTTTCCACACATGGCTTAATTATGACGTTACCAAAATGGGCAGTTTGCTCTGACACCCCGCTTGCAGAATCACACAGCGGACAGACTTAAAAGAGCTCATTAGTTCTCTCTAAAGAGCTGTTTACTGCACACACACACGCGCTCCGTAATAGGCAGCTCTGTTGATGCAGATGGACGCCGAGTGTAATGAGAATGATTAGGCTTCTCTATGTGGAGGCTGGATGAGAGGGAAAAAACGCGCTGGCAGACTTGAAGCTTCAGAAGGTGGAGAATATTTGAGTGCCTGATCTCTCTCTCTGCTTTCTCCGCTACACACACTTGCTCTTTTTCTTACCGCATGTGTCCATCCAAATGCTTCGCACATTTCCCCCCGGCCCTTTAAACCATTGAAAGATTGAGGGGGGAAATCAAATAAGGGCTGCGCTGAAAGCTCCATTGAGGTGCAGCAAATAAAAAGAATGAATCGAAAATAATTCAGCTACCCGAGAGAAAGGTCTTTTAACTGTCTGTGCATGTAATCACACTGATGAAGGCTAACACACATTTTAGTATAAAGCAAATTGGACTCCACTGAATCCTTTTCATATTTAAAATAGGAAGAGGGCCTTGAAAGTTTTTGGAAATGAATGTGTTGTTAAATGTATTAAAATATACATAAAATAATGGAAAGGTGTCGTTTTATTGTTTCCTTTCAAGTGTTTCCCTCTGACAATGAATCCAAGGACTTTTAAATGACTTTCAAGGTCTTTCAAAATGAGTATCTGTAAGTCGGGCCTACCTTAAGCATTTTCCGAGTGGACCCCGCCCATCCTGCAGCGCACATTAAGTGACTTTGCTCATTGCCCTTGGTTTACATCACGTTGAATTAGAGGATACACACTGTAAGATTCCAAAGTCAATCCTCCTCCATCCCTTTCATATGTTTTGGAGAAGGAGCAGCGAGTTCAAAGCGCTCAGTTCAAAGTATCCGTCCTCATTTGAATAACGTAGAGTAATCGCTATTACCTTATTTAAATAGTGCAAGTTATCATTTGGCCTTCATTTGCATTGCTGGGGTAATCACTGCGTCCCTGCATTAACCTCATTATAGAAGAGATGAAAGCCCTGATGGAGGCTGACACACTCTTTTATATATGTTATCTTTATTAATGATGGAATTAGAAAGACCCGTGTTTCTTTAAATGGAGGACATAACGCGGTTTGATGGAGTGTCAAACTATGGGGAGAAGAGTGTGTGGGATTCACAAGGCTTGCTTTATTTGTTTTTCGGCCCCCAACCCCCCTTTTCTGCCACAGCATTCTCTCTCTTGGCCTAGTCACCCCCCCTCCCACGTTGAATTTTTTAATCTCCATCCGTGTCTCTTAACGCCTCCCTGCACTGAAAAGTTCAACCAGAATCTGACACTTAAAATAGAACAATACATCATGACAACGCAAACACACATCCATCTTAACACGTCATAATATTTTCAGTGCAGCTTTTAATTTCTCCCAAGAGATGTGCCAAATCAACTCATTATTGTCTTTAAACCCCAAATGTTGAATTTCCCAAATACTACATTTAGCATACTACAGAAACAACGCTCTGAACCAGCCTGTTTAAGAAAAAAAAAAGCTTTATTTGACTATTTTTGACTGATATCGCTCTTGTGTTAGCGGCAGTAAAAAGGCACCTCTGTCACAAAGAGAGCATTAGGAATACCAGACCTGGTAGTAACTGCTATATCAAACATTAGAGAGAGCCAGAAAAGGCCAAGGTGAAGTGCTTGGCGACATTCCCATAATACCTTGATCACTAGTGGTGGTCAATAGAATTAGATTGCTGAATGCTCCATTAAACGATGTAAGAATGGTGGGTATTTCTACAGCAGAATCAAGACACTTTGTTGCTGCTTCAAGGAGATTCATAGCAGGCCTACAAGACTAAGACTATATACTTATGTAGAAAGTGGCTCAATCTGGTTTCCAGCCACCATTCTTCCACTGTCTCCTCTCTATCCTCTGATACATATTAGTGTGATAATATAGAAATAATAGAGATTTCATGTGCACTGCCAAGCAAGCATTTTGCTAGTGCCTACCGAACAAATAATCAAACATATCCTGAGAATACAATCCTTTAAAAGCACATTAAAATATAATTATTTACACAGGATTGTGGAACCTTTATTGTGCCTCATTTCCTCTCATTTTGTCCAGTATGCCTGCCTTGTAATTTTCTCCTTGAAATACTGCCCTTTTATAGCGCTGCTTCCACTTAATGTTTTTTCAATATAAGAGGAGCCTCCCATCTAATACCAAACTTTCCTCCGCTTTGTCTGAGGCGTTCCCTGCTCGCTACACTGGGAGGTGACAGGCATGCCAGCCCCTTCTAGACTCCCCTCGGCTAAAATGTTGTAAATTAACACAATTAGCAGATCGCCATTCTGCTAATTAGCCACTGGCGTCTGCCGAGAGATGGCTAGAGAGGAGAAGCAGAGAGGAAATAGGGGTCTGGGGATTTCCCCCTCCCTCTCTGTGTTGTTACCAAACAAACACAGGGCCTTGGAAAAAGAGAGCAAGGCAGTGTGAACGTGTTTGTGTGTGTTGCAGTTGGATAAATGGATGGGAGGAAGGGAAGATTTGCTTCCCTATGAATGGATTTTATTGTGCATGCCTGCTTTAGTCACACAAGCGCACACACACACACAAACCAATTCTGAAGGAGGCATTGCTCACAAGACCCCCGACTGTGGAGCTCTACATGCAACCGCAGCCAGTCAATAAGTCAGGGGAAGCAGCCTAAATGACACCGATATTATCCTTTATTTGTGTGCACTAAGTCAAATCAAACAGGGTTCAATCTGCCGTGCGGCTGCTGTGATTACGCCCCGTCCAGCCTTTGATAGCGCCACGGCTTTGATAGTGAGACAACGATGGAGTCGCTGTGTGACTGTCAGTGTTTGCAGATGGCATTGGCTGGGATTAAAGGAAACAGTGGCTCTCAAGCCTCCCGAGGCAATAAAGGGGAGAGCCAGGTGAGTGTGTCTGAGATGAGATGGAGCAAGGGAAGGAGGGAGGGGAGGAGGCGCAGCAAGCACAGAGGGAGTAAATAAGAGGAGGGGTGGCCGAGAAGAAAGGGGAATGAAAGGGAGAGATATATATCGAAATGGATGGAGTCAGAATAAAAGGAGGTAAAGGGAAAGAGGGGAGGTGGAAAATGGACGACAAAAACAGCAAAGACAAGGCAGCAGGGAGGCATGAAGAGAGGCAGACAGAGAGGTAAAGAGAACGGCAGAGAGGGAGGAGGTCAAGGTGGAGCTGTGCAGACAGGAACTAAGCTTGAGACACAATGTGTTGTAATTCATTGCTCGCTACAGCTCCTGTGTGCGTGCCTGTGTTTGTCCGTCTGGGTCAGTGGATGTGAGCATGCGTGTGTGTGTGCGCGCGTGTGCACGTCAGCACGCCTGAGTGCAGGCAGAGATAGTTTTTTTTTTTTAAATGCCTGTGTGTCTGAGCATGAATCTCTGTGTGTGTGTGTGTGTGTGTGTGTGTGTGTGTGTGTGTGTGTGTGTGTGTGTGTGTGTGTGTGTGTGTGTGTGTGTGTGTGTGTGTGTGTGTGTTTGTGTGTGTGCTCGATGAAAGCACCACGAACAGAGGGGGGTGGATGTGTATGGGTGTGTGTGTGTGTTGCTTTGTGGTACTCGCCAAGGCGCATTTTCAAACCCATCTCCAGCCACCTCAGATGAGTTGGGGATTATAGAGTGACCCTCAATGCCTCTGTCTTATTGGTCTGGCCGGGGTGCATTAGGCTGCCATCCCACAAGCCTCTGTACACCACAACACACTCTGTGCTTCTTATGGCCTGTAGAAATGAGTAATTAATGTGCTGATGGACATAAAATTATCTCATGATATGTATCAGTTAGAAAGAAAGAAAGAAAACACCAGATGAGTATCACCTGTTTAATTGATCATCCTAGGCAATTTGAAGGTGTTGTCATTTTAATTATTGTGTGTCAATGTGTTCACATGTTGATGTCTATGTCTCTGTTTCTCTCAGGCTTAAAGATGCAGTGGACCCCCGAGCACAGCCAGTGGGCCGAACAGCATTTCGACATCTCCTCCACCACGCGCTCGCCGGCCCACAAGGCTGAGGCCTACAGGGCGGTGCCCGGCCACCTGCAGCGCTCCGCCTCCTACCAGTACGCCTGGGCCAACGACGACATTTCCGCCCTCACCGCCTCCAACCTGCTCAAGAAGTATGCCGAGAAGTATTCCGGTATCCTGGAGATGCCGGGCTCCTATTCCGAGATCCCGGGGGTGATGAACGGACGGAAAGGTGAATCCGAGCCCTGGCAGGATGGTGTCTACCCCATGAGCTGCATCCCAGAGGGGGTCTCCATCAGAAAGGGGGGGGTGGCGGCGGCCTCAGAGGTGGTGTCCGGCATGTGCAGCTCCCCGGGCCTGGCCTCCAGCACCCTGAGCGAGCCCAGCTACTCCAGCAGCAGCTGTGGGAGCCACTCTGCCACGGCGCTCCACTCATCCTCCATGGCCTCTCAGGAATACGGCCCCCCATACAGCAGCTCCTACCTACACAGTAGTTACAGCTCCCAGTCGGCCCCCACCCCAACACTCCCCTCTCCGCTGCACAGCTCTGGGCTCCTGCAGCCACCCCCTCCGCCCTCCCACCCCACTTTAGTCCCAGCGTACAACGGAGGGTCCCCCAACTTGTCTAGTTATAATTACCCCCCAGCAGGCTACCCGGCCCAGAGCTCCGTTGGGCCGGGATACAGCCCTGGAGGAGCCCCCCCTCCCTCATCGTACCTCCCCCCAGGCATCGCTGCCCCTACACCCCTTCCCCCCTCTTCCACTTTACCTGGATACCCATACCAGAGCCACAACCTGACCCCAATTGCCCCCACCCCTCTTAACAGTAGCTCCTCCAACTCACTGAAGAGAAAAGCCTTCTACATGGCAGGCCAAGGAGAGATGGACTCTTACGGTAACTTTGGCTATGGCCAGGCTCGGAGCTCCGCTGAGAGCCCCATGTACCGGATAGCTGACAGCAGCAGCGCCAACGGAGGCTCCAACAGTGGATTCGACAGGGGTCCTGAAAAGCCTTTTAATCCCCAGAAGCAGTCCACAATGTCCTCTGAGCAGAGGAAGTACAGCAGCCAGGCAGCAGGTGGGCCACTGACTCCACCGGCCTACGTAACCTCCACCCTAGGGGGTTCCCGCTCAACGGATTCCCTCGGCAGCTTCACCTCCCCCTCCCTCAGTGAGCAAGGTGCCGAGGATCACCGCCTCCACCTCTCCCACTCAGCACCAGGGACTACCTCCTCCTCATCATCTTCATCCTCCCGGCCTGCTGAAGAGCAGCTAAAAACCAGTGACCCTCACCTCCTGGACATGGTGACCTCTGAGATCGTTCAGCAGGGGCCCCCGGTGGATTGGAGCGACATTGCAGGACTAGAACTAGCCAAGGCAACCCTGAAGGAAGAGGTCCTCTGGCCCATTCTGCGCCCGGACATGTTCAGCAGTTTAGGCCCCGCCCCCCATTGCGTGTTGCTGTTTGGCCCCAGGGGCAGTGGCAGGACGTTGCTGGGTCGCTGCCTGGCCAGCCAGCTCGGGGCCCCGTTCCTCCAGCTCAACGGCTCCACGCTGGCCACCAAGTGGCTGGCAGAGGGAGAGAAAATCATCCGGGCGTCCTTCCTGGTGGCGCGCTGCCGGCAGCCCTCCGTTCTGTTCATCAGTGAAGTGGACATGCTGCTGTCAGCACACCTCAGCGAGGAGAGTCCCATCAACCGGCTGAAGGGGGAGCTCCTCGCCCAGCTGGACTCCCTGCTCATGGGCTCAGGCGAGGACGGAGGCAACCAAGTCTTGGTGGTCTGCTCCACAAGCCGACCCCAGGACATGGATGAAGGGTTGCGCAGGTACTTTGGCCGCAGGGTCCTCGTGCCCCTGCCGGACGGCGCAGCCCGCCACCACATCGTGGGCCAGCTCCTGGCTCAATCTCAGCACAAATACTGCCTGAGCGTGGAGGAGCTGGCGCTGCTGGTCCAGCGCACCGAGGGCTTCTCCGGACTGGACGTGGCCCGGCTATTCCAGGAGGCCCTCGTGGGACTGTTACACGTCTCCGCACAAGGCATGGACATGTCGGGTATGATGCCCCGGGGACAGGTCCGGCCCCTCACCTACCAGGACTTTGAGAGTGTCTTTTGTAAATTCCAAGCCAGTATATCACAGAAAGAGATTGACACGTACACTGAGTGGAACAAAATGTTCGGCTGCAGCCAGTGAAAAGAAAGATTCCGCCCTTGAGAAAAAGAGGCAAACACAATTCCTCCCCTCAGGGCAGAAGCATTGTGCTGGAGGGAAAGGCACACAGAAGGCCAACACAAGCTCACTGAGTTCTCACAAGCAGGGTTTAGACGACCCAGAGACCTGGTTTGATGAGACAACTGGCAGTTTTACAGTTAATGAGCAAGAGTTTTAATTTAATTGCTTGACACTCCAGAAAGCCAGGCATTGTTTACACATTGCAAGCAAGTTGGCTTGAGAAGAGACGCCCCAGTGTCTGTGTAAATATATCGTTACGTTCCTGTTCTTGACATTTAGTTGGCTATCCAAGTGCCTGAAGTGGTGCTTTCTGATTTTCTTTCTTTGTTTATTTGCCTCACAATCTACATTCATGGCATGAGCTGACGATTATTAAGAGCTTTAAAACTCCAGAGGTGAGTCTGAAAAACAGATTGACAGTTGCCATTGGTGGTGGTCAATCATTCTTTATTGTCTTGCTAAGAGCAGTAATCCATCAGGGCGGCAGTAGTCTGGGCCCTGACGCGCACTTATCTCTCCTGTGTCTGCTAAACAAACAAGCGTAACAAACAAAACTCAGGAAAGCGTTTGTGAATTGTACAGTACCTCAAGGTTTCTTGACGAAAAGCACTAAGACCTGAGAGGAGAATCCGAGGGGGTTTATGTTTAGCGAAGCAGTGTTAGGTTTACCTCGACTGGCTATTATAAATAGCAAAGAGGTGACGATGAATGTACTGAATATTTTCTGGAACATTAATCAATAGTGAGTAAAGACATGTCCTTTTTCTTTTCTCACAGCAGGTGCTTTAGTAACCTGTTTCTACTTGACCAATCCTGAAGCTTATTTTCATCGCTTAAAAAAAAACTAAAATCTGTCTGGTTTTGGGGTTTTAGGAGAAATCAGGTGTCGGGTCAATGTCGTTGTATATTTATTCAAAACAACCATAATCAACATTGTTTATATTATGCGATGCTAGGCGTTAGCAGGCTTTGCTGGAGGCTCCATCAGTTTAGCTAACTTCTGTCTTGTCAGCGAGGGGAGACGTATTATTTGACATGGAGGAACCTGATGCTAAAACATCTCCAAAAAATATAAAGATCAACATTTTAGGGAATACACATATTTGCTTTCTTCTGAAATGTTTGTCATTTTAACTACATTACTCCAGGAAGTCAGGAAGATACTGTAGTTAAAAGCTCATCTGTTGCCTTCAAGGGGAAAAGTAGAGGTGAAATTGCTGAAGGTGAAATCTAATTTCATAATAGCAACTCTGATTGATTGACATCTCTGTAATGTTATTGTCCAACAAAACACGTGGACACTATTTGAATCATTCAGAACATTTAAATCAAATATCCAAACTGACCATCGAAGACTAATTGAAACATAATTTCTTGGCACCTAAATGCATTTGGATACACACTTCAGTTGAGTGGAAAGCTTTGTAACATGAGTGAGGAATTGTGGTCTTAAAGTCCTTCATCCCTGAAGGTTATCTGTCGCCCATTGTGTTGGAATGTATTTTTTTCCCTTCCTTGTGTAAGAAGCTGTCCTTTAGCTCCACTGCTGCCACACAGGAGTCCTTAAGCTAGTGTAATGTACGTGCACTAAAGCATTCTGTGTAATATTGTTTGGTTGAAATGTATTTGCTTTGTCTGTCCGGTATTTATCCTGAAGGAGATTTCATTCATCATCAGTTTTTTATTGTAAATCCGTCTCTCTTTTTTTGTTTGAATATAAGTACTTACTGTATGTCTAGGCCTGCTCTGTGTTGCTATCTCTGCGTCAGTGCAGCACCTGATGTGTGGGGGGGGGCTAGCCTGCTCTGTTGTTGGCGCTAAAATTCTCTGCCGTCAAAGTTGCAGCAACCTGATGTGGGGGGGAGGGGGGGGGGGGGGAGAGTTCTGCTGAGCATCAGCAAAATTGACGGGAAGGAAAGACAGCCAGGCAGCGTGGCGGCAGCACAAGGGGAAAGCAGAGTGGTCCGTCAGAAAAGCACCCTCAAAACAATCTGTACCAGAATTCCTTCTGTCAGCAAATCCTCTGGAGAGAGAGTCCCTTTAGACAGAAAAACCTACTAATGCACTTCAGAGCACACAACAACAGCACACACTCCTCCCCCCCCGTACAAACGACTTGAAACACCGGTCAACGCTGCGCTTGTTATACGTGTTTTGTGGCCCTTTCTTTTGTCTCGTTGTGTTTTAAATCTAGCTTTTACCTATCTTTTTTTCAAACCCTTTCCTTAAGAGTTCTTCTTTAAAGCTACCTCATGGCTACAAAACATATAACGTCTTTCCAAATGTCAGAAAAAGCATTGAAAAAAAAAAGTAAAGTGGAGAGAATAACAACAAAGTTTTGCGCAGTCTACCTCAGACGACTGTACTCAAAACATTTAGCTGATGGTGCACCCACAGGCTGCAGTGTGTGTTTGTGTGAGATGGAGCTATATAGGTAACACACACACCTGATTACACTCACAAGCGATTTGTGAGGAGGGAAGAGTCGCCCTAAAGGTGACCCGGAAATGTATAATCCGATACATTTGCTTTAATCTTTTGTGAACTACTGTGGTTGTGTGCGTGTGAATGTGTATATACGTGGGCACACTCTTCTTTTTTTTATTTAGTGTGTTGAATTTTATAAATTGTTAGTATATATAACACACTTGCACAACTTTAAACCAGAGTGTAACGTGTTTCTGTTGTACATACCTATACATACAATACAAATGCACCACTTGTTTATATGTGTGAATATGTTGCCATACTTGCAGTCAATGTATTTTCATGTAATCTTAGGTACAAGCAGCAACAAACGATTCATTAAAGACATTTTCTTGGGAGATTATATCTTGTCTTTTTTTATATTTTATGTCACATTAACGTCTGAAGATTAATTACAGAATTTATTTATCAGTAGTAAAGTGTATGTATTGCCCTGCCAAAAAATAGCCCAGCTGAAAAATGGTCTTAATGAGCCTTGAGTTAGTCACCCTTGTGTGCAATTATAAAATCATCCGTGTTGCGCAGGAAGCCGGCGCTGTCGCTTCGCTCATTAAAATGTAACAATTCATTTCTCTTGCTGGTAAGAGTGGCAAGACCAAAACATTAAAGCATTAATTATCTTTTTCCATCACAAAGAATTTGGATTATGTGAGTACTCTTAATGAAAATGATGTGCATTAGCCCACTGCGTTTCCACGGTATCATTATATAGCTGGCAGTGAGGTGTGGGAAGCTGCTGTATAGCCTCTATAATTATCCGTGGAAACTCAAACGCCTCACAAGAGGTTACAGAGCATCGAGGGCTGCTGTTTTCTTTATTTTCCCACTTTGAAACAAGCTACAGCCATGATCAGAAATAATCTGTGACACACGCTCTTTTTGTCCATCACATTTAAAGATGTTATTTTCAATCCGAGTTGGTAGTAAGAAGATGTTTTTTTTTTGCTTTATATCAAGCTGCTCTGTAAATAACCCGTATTCACAAAGCTGCAGTTGGTCTCGGAAATACTCAGCAGGGGGAATTATACAGGAAATATCATTGAAGTTATTATACAAATCAGGGAGCAGATTTTCATGGAAAGTTTTTTTTTAATTTAAGTGTAATTTAAAGGTTTATTCCTAGTGTGTGTGAGTCAGTGTCTGTGTGCACCCCGGGGTTATCTACCCCAACACCACTGTGTCCCCTTCACTTTAAAGGGCCCTCATTGCACCAGCTTTGCCTCACACCTCTTTGCGCGACAATTAAAATATGCTAAGTGATCATTTTCCTTAAGTAGTCTTAAATGTGCAATCCATTCAAATATGAGAGGAAATTGCCCACAGCTCGCAGAAAGAAAAAAAACAGAGGTGGTTGAACATGGGGGTAAAGCCGGAATAAATTATGCAAATAACACAAAGGACTTTACCACTTAAAAGCCTAATTTTCCTATAATCAGCACACTGTCGCCTAATATTTTTTTTCCACCTCTTATTAAAAGTGACTGTTCTCGTGCCGATCATCAGATGGCTCTATCTGTCACTGGTCTGTGAGCCTGCCAGAGTAAATGCTAAAGCATTTTGCCGGAGCTTTTAGATGATGGTTACATTCCCACACAAGTAATTATGCGGCGGAGAGTCCAGAAATAAGGTTTAATTATACAGTAATCGTGTGTGATGGACACTAGGAAGTGGTGAGCAGCGCCAGACTGCAATCCATCAATGACAAACCTCTGGCCAGTTTTAATTCCTCCTCATTTGCATCCTAACCTCCACACCAAGTTGCGCAAACGCTGTTAAATGTTAATAGGACCTGTCTCGCCGCTCAAAATGAATGCTTAAGCCATTTTTTTTCACTCCCTCCTCTCCTTTCATCCTCTCTTTATCTATAACCCGCTCTTTTATTCCAACGTCTTCATGCCATTCTCTCCTTTCCTGTCATCCCTCCCTCCCCCCTCCTCCCTCGCTTCCTCCCTCCTCGCAGGCCTCGCCGTGGAGGAGGCACCGAGCGGTCACTGATGCACTAATTGGGAGCAACACTTACAGTTTTATCTCCCCCCACCACTAATAGCGGTCCGCGCCGAAGCAACTCACCTTAGGAGGAGGAGGAATGGATGGATGGAGGTAGGAGGAGGTGTTGGGGGGGGGAAGGGGGAGGCCTTGAATGAGAAATTCCTCCATGCAGACCGCAGCGCAGACTCAGTGTGAGATTGGGCCCTAAAGCCATCATGGTTAATCCATATCCCGCAGGACCCCCGACTCAATTCCCTGCTTCATTAATTGAAAACGATGGCCTTTTTTTTGGTGTGAGTGAATAAAACAAGGAGCCATTTATGAAAAAAAGCATTTTGTCTGGTTTTGTTCCTGAAGTGGCTGCAATCTCATTATGCCTCTGTGCTGCATTTCAAAATGTGCTATCATCTTTGTCTTGATTGTCTCCCAGCGTCGGGAGAGATAAATACACGCGCCGCTTTGCTGTGCTGATGCCAGGGCTGTTTTTCACCGAATCATTTGAAGTCTTATCAGCCTTTGTGGAAATAAAGCCTTTGCCTAATAAACTGTTCCACAGGCTTTGCGAGAGTAGCAGATAAACACCTTTTTTCTCCCGACAACGCCATCATTAGCGCATCTTGTTCAATGCTTTACACATAATTGGAATCAACATCTATTGTTCGTGTTCTTGACCTTCCACTTGTTTTCCAGCAGACACTTAGAAACATTGTATTACTGCTGAGAGGGAATCTTAACTAGGAGAACACATGCTAAGTGCCTTTGCTTTGTTTTATCAGGGGCACATAGCTTCACTTTGAATATAACTTGAAAACCCATACCTTTCTGATTTAATGATAACAATCCTATTGTGTATTCTAACATACAATTGCAATTAATCACATGACAATCATATGGGAAATATGGTGAAGCACTTCTGACCTTTAACGCCTTTACTGCAACATAAGTATAAATACTCAACATCCTGCATTTAACCGTTGTTGTGGTAGTATATGGGTGCAAAATGTACAGTTTTTTCTCAGTAACGATGAACAACAACTCGTATGTTAAAGGTGAAGAACCCACAGAGAACTGAAGGGGAACTCGAAGTGCGTCGACCTTCGGCAGGTTTGTTTTCTTAAGTGAAAAATAATGCGTGTGCTGCCTGTGACTCAAATTCGCAACAAAATCGAATGGTGGACATACAAAGAACCATAAAACCAAACTTAACTCCTCAACTCAACATTTCACTATGTCCCTTTTTACACCAAGGCTTTTCCCGTTCTAGCTCCGTGCTAGAGCTTTTCTGGTTCGGAACCGGTTCTTCGGTTCAGCTCCCGCTCTGTTCACACCGCTCAGAGCCCGACTGGTGCTGCGTCATTGCGTCATTGTTTGCGTCATGACCTAACCGTTTGCATGCCTGCTTCATAAAGCCAAACCGCGCGGAACCCCCTCACATTGACAACAACAACAATGGCCGATTGTATTGAAGCGCTGCTTGGTTTTTCACTGTCGAAACGAAATGGAAGAAATGGGACGACTTTACTAACAACTTTACAGTCGTTACATGCTACATTCAAAAGTTATTTACAATCATCATCAACTTCAACGACAATTCCGTAGGAGAAAGAAGGTAAATATATGTCCTCTTCGATGGCGTTAGAGCTAGCTGTTGTTAGCCTCTGCATGTGCCAAGCTCAAAACACCCAGCTTTGCAGCATTACTTACTACTGGTATAACATTAAAACTGATTCTCAATGTTATTTCCACAGATCATGTTGAAGCTGGCGGAAAGGCGGATGTTGCGTGTTATTTGGACACAACCCAGATCTTCCGAGGTAATCGTGACGTATGCAGTGCTTGCTTCCTAGACCGACAACTTTTTGGTGCTTGAAACGAACCGTATTCCGGAGCTTAGAGGCGGCTCCGCTGCGGTGTGAACAGGAAAAAACTGTGCTTTTCAAGCCCCAGCTCCGAACCGGCCCTGGAAACGCGTCGTTGTGAAAGGGGAGCGTTTTGCGTCTTTCAGCTCATTGTTTGGATTTTCAGGCCTGCAACAGGAAGAATGGCTCTTCTTATTGGTATATTAGGCCTAGCCTATATATTATTGAATTTTACCACCGTTTTTATGAAAATCTGAATCTGTAGAATAATAAAATAGCATGAGTAGAACTTCTAAAACACTTTCCACCACTACATAAAGTGATGCATCAATTGAATAAAAAATATGTGACTGAAAATTCACAAAGCTCTGTACTGAAGATGTAGTATAAACTAAATTGGCCTCACCTTTTGCTGATACATTCAGATTCTGTGTGCTTTACAAGAACACCTCCCATGCAAATGGTGGTCTTGATTATGCTAATATATTACTATGCTAATGGTGACCATCTTTAATAATGCATGATGTTGGCATATTGATAATGCAGTGCATTTATTGTCATGCAAATGATATGTTGGACGGCTTATTAATTGACACTTATCAGAGAATGAGCTTTGATTTGGTGGAAAATAATAATTAATAATGTGATTCATTCACTCTTATCTAAAGGGTGTCACTTACTATTCCAGATCAGAGATGTTCTTTAGTTTTAACAGCTGGCTGTTATCAATCCGGTTCTCTCTTAAGAGGCTCCTGTGCAGCCATCATCAGGATTCAAAGGCGCCAAAAACCTGATCCATTTGATCGCGCAGCCCCCATGCTAACGGGGAGTCAGACGTGAGTCATGCTCACTCCGATGCCCACCTCCCTCGGCAGAAAAAAACTTAAAACAAGCCTTTCGAGCGTTACGGGAGGGTACCTTCAGAAACACTCTCTTTTTTGTGTGTGTTGTCAGATCGGCGGCGCTTGTGGAGTGTTCACAGGCACTCGGGGATGGGCTGTCGTGTTAGCGCTGAGTGGCAGACCCACCGACTGACAGCCAGCCAGGTTGTCTCTGGAGGATTCCTACTGAGGAGGTGTCGCTGAGTGAACTATCAGGCACTGTGATGTGCATTAGGCTGTGCACGAGACCTCTACAAACACACGTTTTTTCAGAGTTTTTATTATAAGAGATTCATTAGCTGTCTACTTTTTTTAGATCATCACTCATGAAAGCCTTACATCTTCTTTGACAGTGATGGACAGGTTGAAATAACTCCCTGATTGATTTTACAACAGCACATCCTGTACCAACACCATCATGTGTTACTGTAAGGAAAATCCCCGTCTGATTTTCCACCACAGTGTTGGAGGTGTACTTTCCTACGTGATTTTCTCCCGGCTATAATGCCACATCGTGTATAACTACCGATGGAGACATCCAATTAGTAGCCAGTCAGGCTGTGTTAGCTTAGTTAAGAACACACACACACACACACACAC